ATATTTTTTTTTTCTTTTCTATAAATTCCTCTTATATCTAATAAAATATTCGAATAACATTTTGCGGTAAATTCTGATTAGAAGTTAAAAAAAAAAAAGAAAAAAAAAGACAACTAGCGCGTGTATAGTTGACAAGTAGGTCTTTCAAATCTATAAATACTCAGTATATTACTTATGTTAGATGAAATTTATGATCACAGTGCAAATCCAATCTCCACAAATAAGGTTTCACCGCGTATACGCACGCATTTCAGTAGAAGTTATTTAGTATTGATTTTATTTCTTAGAAATAGAATAAAATAAAAAAATAATAAAGAGAGAGAGAGAGAGAGGGAGGGAGAGAGAGAGATAGAAAAAAGGCAAAACTAGATCGTAAAAGTAAAAAAATTCGTTAGACTGTTTACAACTGTGGGGTTCCACTTACGGAAATCGTTGCATTCTATTTTATCGATTGCTATCGCATCCGATTTACGCGACGATAAGACGCACTCTCGTTACCAATCACGAGGGTCCGCGTGTCGACTCGAGAACATACAGGAGAAAGTGACTAAACGTCCTATGGGATAGTCTAAAGGTATGGTGATACAGTGATACAATAATATCTTGCGAATACCGGCACGGGAAAATTAATGGCCAGTAAAGGGCCCCGAGGTAACTATCTTAAAAGCCAACCGGCGCTTGTATTATTTTATAGTTGGCATCCGCTGCTTTTACGAGCCCGCAAACCCTCACCGAATACGATTCCTTGTACTTTTCTCTCTCTCTCTCTCTCTCTCTCTCTCGCTCTCTCTCTCTCTTTCTATCCCGCTTCTAGTCATTTATTTCTTCTCTTTTTAGAAAGAAATAACGAAAGGAAAGAAATAATGAAAGATAGAAAATGAAACTGAAAGAGAGAATATAAACTAAACGTGCTTTCGAACACGACCAAGTCATTCTTATCATCGTTTGTCGGATTCTTCTAATGATAGTCAAGTATAAAAACGATTTACTTTTTTTTACTTTTTTTTTTTTTTTTTTTTTTTTTTTTTTTAATAAAAATAGTTGACAAAGATTGACATGCCATGTACGTAGGTTGAAAAACTTAAATAATGGCAACTATTTATTCACAACCGATACAAAAGAGTTACATGTTTGCATCTGTTACTGTCCTTCAAAGTAGTCACCAGCGTTGTGTAGAGAACCCGTTGCCAGCGATGTAGAAGGCGTAATATATCGTCAACAAAGTTGAGAGCGATCTAACAGTTGCCACTATTTAAGTTTCAACCTTCGTATATAATCGATCAATGAAATATCCAATCAAATATTAAATATTCATGGACGTGTTATTATCAAATGTATCTGTCATAATTATAATAAGCTAAAAAATATTGTACCACGACATGTATTGTAACTAAAAGAAAAAAAAAACGAGAATGATCGTTTTAGAATCGATTAGGTTATATTAATTGTTCGATTATCCTCGCGTTGACACGAATGCGTCGTGGTTTTGTCCAAGGCCAAGCATGATCATCAAGTCGGTCGACGAACTCGTTCGCCCATTCACCCATTCGCTTTTTACTCATTTACCGACGAGGTGGTCCGCAAAAAATACACACACACAAACGCAGACAGTTGTTTGCGCGAAATTACTTTGAAATCGAGCTAGTCGAGCTTTACTCGAAGAGTAATTAAATTCGGAATCGGTTTTCAACGTTTTCTACGTTAAAACGCCATGTGCTTTTTTTTTTTTTTTTAATAGTATGTTGATTAATTATTTCTTTCTTTAAAATCGTATTACATTAGATTAATACGCAAGTAAATAAAGAGAAGGATATACATATATATTCAAATCAATTGATTTTGGTGAAACGAAACGTTACGTCTTTTCAACGAGCGACGATAATCGTCTTACGCAAGAAACGTCTTCTTGCAAGTGATTTCTGTTGGTACGATTTATTGCTCCATAAATACTGCACATCGTCGATCGTGGAATAACGTATACCTATCATCCAAAGAGAAAAAGAGAGAGAGAGAGAGAAAAACTTGAAGACGAATCATAGATGTCGAAACGTTTCCTACTTGTATATTAAAATAAAAAAAAAACAACAGATGTGTGCAGATCACACGTGTTAGAAGTGAAACCTTGAAAAAACTAAGTTTCCAGAGAATGAGACGAATGCAGAATATCAGGTTGTAGGATAATTGTAGGATTTATTTGTTATAATATTATTATTATAATATTATAACATTTTCTCATTGTTCTATATTCGTCATCGAACATCATTTGATTGTAACGATCGGTTTTGAGTACATAATCGAGTTGTAGCATGTGAAAGGTAAAACTTAGAATATCTAGGAAGTATTTCTATTCCTTTGGAAGACTATAGAAAAGGATAGGAAGAATAAAAAGAGAGAAAAGAAGAAGTCCCTTTGCGAAGGGACTCTAAGCCGCAGTAAAAAAAGTTATCGTTGGACCTGGTGCATTAGTGGCCGCACTATATTTCTTATTATACCAGTGCGAGGTGTATTATACTCTCTCTCTCTCTCTCACTCTCTTTTTTACTCTTTCTCTTTCTCTCTCTCTCTCTCTTTCTCTTTCATCGTCAATGCGGGCGGTCTAGAGAAGTCAGCCTAGTTGGCCGGTGCAATGTTCTCGCGCATGCCCCCTTCGCCGAAGCTCGTTAAGGGTCTTTCCTGTGTCTCCTTTCGTCCTTCGCGTTATCCTCAACGTTATCCTGCTTGCCCATTTCCTGGATAGTCGCGTGCTGCACTCTTCCCAACTACTATTATATACAAGGTGTACTTCTATAATATATCCAGGATATAATTAACACGTGCAATTTATTTCACAATTAAAATCGCTTAAACAATTCAACAATTTATTTTGTATTTTTATTCGATCAATATCTAAATGTTT